GAAACTGAGGCTACAATTTGCACAAGCTCATCGAAATTGGACAATAGAAGATTGGAAAAACGTTGCCTGGTCTGATGAGTCTCGATATCTGCTGCGACATTCGGAAGGTAGGGTCAGAATTTGGCGTCTACAACATGAAAGCATGGATTCATCCTGCCTTGTATCAACGGTTCAGGCTGGTGATGGTGGTGTCATGGTGTGGGGAATATTTTCTTGGCACTCTTTGGGCCCCTTGGTACCAATTGAGCATCGTTGCAACGCCACAGCCTACCTGAGTATTGTTGCTGACCATGTCCATTCCTTTATGACCACAATGTACCCAACTTCTGATGGCTACTTTCAGCAGGATAATGCGCCATGTCATAAAGCTGGAATCATCTCAGACTGGTTTCTTGAACAAGACAATGAGTTCACTGTACTCAAATGGCCTCCACAGTCACCAGATCTCAATCCAATAGAGCATCTTTGGGATGTGGTGGAAGGGGAGATTCGCATCATGGATGTGCAGCCGACAAATCTGCGGCAACTGTGTGATGCCATCATGTCAATATGGACCAAGCTCCCTGAGGAATGCTTCCAGCACCTTGTTGAATCTATGCCACGAAGAATTGAGGCAGTTCTGAAGGCAAAAGAAGGTCCAACCCGTTACTAGCATGGGGTACCTAATAAAGTGGCCGGTGAGTGTATAAGAATAACATAATAGGGAAGAGTTAGAATATAACCAATACAATTCTGTAAAGTGTTTTAACAATATAAAACTGGGGAATTAATAACCAATATGCAGCTATGGACATTTTTACAGTAATGGATATTTGAAAATAGCAGCAACATCAGAGATGTGCAGAATGACAGCAGCATGTTATTTAACTGACTAAGGTTTCTATCATTACATTGGATTTGATTTGTTAATGCTCCCGGTGGTTGGAACATTTATTCCACTCTGGATTCCTGTTAGTGTAGTTTTTGTTCACTTCACAATAAAAAAAGAAATAAAGAGTTTTGAAAACTTCTGTATTCATTCTTTTCCTGCTTTGTGTGTCAACTTTCACGGTTGCTAAGCAACAGAGCATACGGCGGTAAACCCGCCAAAGGGTAGACCTGGTCGAATTTACAGCCAAAACTCTTCCGGTCTCCTTATTTTCAAGGACTTCGAAGGATCCAGTCTAGGTAGACCGCGTCCTTGGAGGACACATCCTAGGTTTTCGAACAGAGCCATAGATACAATTAAAAGTGCTGTAGTGGTGCAGCACTGCAGGACATTAAAAGCCTTCCAGAGGTGCATAGAAAGAAGCACACAGAAAGAGGACATCTAAGAGACAGTATTATCCTAGTCAGAATTAGCTGAGTACAGTAGTGGTGCGGATGTCGGGGTAGTTTGTTCCACAGTCTGGGAGCAGCAACGGCAAAAGAACTATCGCCTTATTGTCTTCTTATCCTGATACACCATCACTGTGGAACGGGAAATCTGGACCCATTAGACCAAGCGTGCTCAAGTCCAGTCCTCTACTACTATCCTGCACCGTTTTTGATGCACCCCATTTTTAACACACCTGAATTAAATGAGTGGCTCCATGCCTCTGCTGAGCTAAATGAGGGGATAGATTCTTTAGATTCAGGTGTGTTAGTGAAGTGATGCATCTAAAAGTTACAGGCTGATAGATCTTGAGGACTTGACTTGAGCGCCCCTGCATTACACCATATAACCTTCTTTATGCTTCCAACAAACTGAAGCCTGCTTTCTGGTTAGCTTCACCAATTAGTGGTTATCTAAAACTGCACAGCTTTTGATTTCCTTTCATATCATGGTTGTGGAAATGCTCTTTCATGTTTAAACATATCCTGAGGTTTTACTGTTGTTTTTTTTATGATTTAATGCCACCAAAGATCACAGTGACTGGAATCAAAATTGTTCAGGAATTTGTTCCCAGCCACATTTGTCCTGAAACACTATGGGTTTTGTTTATTATTTTAGTTTTTTAATTACAGTTCTTCACTCAATTTTGGTAGCTTCTGCAATCTCCTTAGATGTTTTCTCTGCTTCAATCCAATGATTTGAGCCTTCTGAAACAGACTGACATCTTTTCCTCATGCACAGGATGGGTCGTCCTCATGGACTTTTAAGAAATGAAATAATCTCATTGCACCAGTTGGGATTAAATAACTTTCAGCTGTTGAAGCATAATTATTCATGCAGTAATGGTTTAATTGGGGGCTCGTTTTTATTTGCTTTGTTTCACCAGGTGGTGACTTTTTTTTGGACAGGCAGCGTATTTTATCCATTTATTCAATAGATTTATATGCTTTAATAAATAATTTCACTATAGCAGTTTAACTCTATAAACATGTCTTTCTTTGGCATGATAAAGTTTAGCTTATGTATTTACAATTGACTTAATACAAACTAATTCAGAATTCATTAGTACTCTATGCTTTTAAAATGTAAAAAAAAACAAAAAAAACTCGGTATTTCTACATATTTCTAACAATGTAAGCCAGTGTATTTCAATCCTGTTCCTCAAGGCACTCTGCCCTGCATGTTTTAGATGTTTCCCAGCTTTCACACACCTGTTATCAATTGGTAGCAGATTATCAGGCTTTGCTGAACTGCAATCATCTGAATCAGGTTTGCTGAACCTAAGAAACATCCAAAACATACAGAGAAGGGTGCCTTGAGGACCAGGATTGAAACACACTGATGTAAGCATAAGTCTAATTTGCATAATTTTCTTTTTCATCATTTAAGGAAAAGTGTCCAAAAATAAGCTTTATATATTCCTGTTCCAATGTTGTTTACACAGTTTGGCATCTAGAAAAGAAGAAACGCCAAAAGAAAGAGATGGAGGGAAAATGTCAGAAAAAAAAACGGGTGCTGAAAAGTACATGTAAAGTTAGTGTGAGATGAGTTTTTTTTAATTTGTTACAGAGCAAATAGTGGAAACTTTAATCAGAAAAGTTAAACATTTATAAAATCGTCTGCAAAACAAGGAGTAGGTTTGTTTTTTTTGTTATGCCGAGATTCTTTCCTAAAAACTTACTTTAATATACATAAACTTGGAGAAAACTACACAAATAAGGACATTTTGAAATCTAGAGACTATTATCATATGTCCAGGTGTCTTCTTTGCCAACCCAGTAAATTTGGTACTGCTCATGCTAGAAGTTTTGTTGTTTCATGAACAGTTTCCTTTTATTCACACCTGGTCAAAAATATACACACAAGCTCGGATTATTAAGGTTTGTATTTATGTCCCTTAAGCCATCAACAAACTTCTGACATAAATCAAACAGAAATCTGTTTTGGGAAAAGCAGTATGGGTAATTTGTTTAGTTTCTAGACACATGCCAGGATTTTAAGCATAATCCATTTATGTTCAGTAGGGTTTAGGCCAGGGCATTGATATTTATCTGCTTAATCCATTTTAAAACCAGCTTTCTTTCTCATTTGGGATCATTTTCCTGTTTGAACAACCAGCTATGTTCTAGTTTCAAATATGACACCAACTACAGTTGGCTAAGATGTTCAAAAACAACACAGACACCTCAAAGGGTCAAGCCATGCAGTGCAACTGGAATCTGCTGGATCCCCGGTTTTACCGTTCATAGTAAAGAACACACTGAACCTTGTGAAGATACAAACATGGAGAACAGAAATGTTTTTTTTTCTCCAAATGATTAAGACTAGACGTAAGTTTGGACGAGTCAAAATGAGGCTTCAAAGCAAAGAAATACATGTAGCCTCAAGCAAAGCAGAGGTAGCATCACGCTGTGGTGGTTTTAACCTGGTAGTTGCAGGTGCAATTATATAGGTGGATGGAACGATTCAACTTGCATTTTGTTTAGGGTGACCAAACGTCCGTATTTCCCAGGACATGTCCGTATTTCACGTCCTGTCCCGGGATTTTTTTAGAAAGAGGGGAAATGTCCTGATTTTTTAAATTACCTTCATTGGACCGTTAAATCTACAGGCACTAGGGCACTGCGCACGACGCTGCGTGTGACGTAATCCCTGAGCCGCGTCAGTGCGGGCAGCCCTGTTCTTAATCAGAAGATGGATAGCGTGGCTGTCAGTCCGCCAACAACATGCAAAAGCGCAAATGTATGTTTACCGACGATTTCCAAAAGAGTTTCCCCGCTTTCAGACCGGGTCGAGACACATTGGATGCCTTGTGCACAGTGTGCAAAGCAGGCACATACGTCTCGGTGTCCAATGGAGGTGCAAGGAATCTGAAAAGCCACCTGGACACCGAAAGTAAAGACAGTCTATTGATATTTTGTTCGTTTTTGGTAAAATTTTGAATCATTTTTGCTACACAAGAGGTAATTTTTGTTAATTAGCTCATTTGTTAATTTATTTTTTCCAATAGCCTAAAGAACAGACATTATTTCGTTCATTGCTGAGGCTGAGTATCCTCTGTTATTGGGAGTTGAGAGTTATTAACTTTTATTGTTAAGTGAGGGATGTTTAGATGAGACATTAGTTCTTTCATTGTGCTATTCATTCATTACAGGAATTGTTAAGCATTTTTAATAAATACATTTTGAATAAAATTATTGTTTGTTATTAGAGTTATGGCTGTTGACATTTACTGAAAAGCTAGTTATTGTAGGATTACGTAGGTCTATGTTAAGTGAGTGCATGCCACAGACCCCCCCCCCCCCCCCCCCCCCCTCGCGCTCCAAGGTGTCCTGGTTTTCCCAAATGAAAATATGGTCACTCTAATTTTGTTGAAGTACTGCACTATGTACTATGAGAAAAGTACTATGCAAAAGAAACTAGGCTTTATATCATCCTTTACCGTGTTACTATGCAAACAAACCTTACCTGAATAATAATATCTTTCCTTTTTCTGTTTTTTTTCTTGCCACCATTTGCTATTTTTAGTTTGTTAGAATAATTTCATTTTTCTGAAGAAAAAAACAACAATTGCAGCAGCAAAAAAATAAATAAAATAAAATAAAAAACACACAGGCATACTTCTTAATAACGACAGTAGACAGGATGATTTGATGCTTTTTCTTGGTTGCCACTGACCGAAACCTCAAGAGACAGAAGATGGGTAACATTGACATTTGTCCACTATACATGGTGTGCACAGTACATTATACTTGTCATATGGCTGGAGAACGGTAGAATGTTAAAATCTTATAGGTGTGTGATGTTTTGTAATAGCTGGGATTTCTTTGGCTGGAATGAATGCCAGCTGATTTGGTCCCTTTGAATGAGAGCGGCATTCCCGCTGTTAGGGAAGGGGGAAAAAGCAGCACAAACTTTAAACACATGAAGCGTGGGTTTTTTTTGTGTCTTTCACACTCATACAGTCTTGCACAGGCAGCACAGCTCAGCACATACTCATATATAAACATCCCAGATCAGGATACTCAACAAAAAAAAAGAAGAAAGATAAATATTAGACTTCCACTACCCAGCAGAGGCAGGTGTTCCAGCTTTGTACAGTATTTATACCAGTATATTATAGGCCATAAAGCATTTCTGTGATAATAAAATTTATTAAATAAGAAACAAATTGTCCTGTAATAACAGAGTGTCTACTGCTTATACTGATTGTTTTAAACTGTAAACTGAAGCTAATAATCAGGAGCTTAAGATCCACTGAACATCTTCGATGTCTGATGGAGCCCAGATTTGCTCATTTAAAGGAAGTCTTCATCTCTCTCCATCATTCCCTGATGCCAACGTAGGGCTGGACAATAAATTCAGTATCAACATAAATCACAATATACGTTTATTCAACAAAGGTGATACGATTTTTAAACACACTTCCGATATTTCGATATACGTTAGTCTACAATTACATTATTTGTCCCTGACTGGCGTTCAGGGTGCCGCCGATTCTAGCCCAACAGAAAGAGCCGGAAGACATCGGCTGATCTCGTGCAGCAGCCTGTGCTCACTGTTAGCATAAGCTAAGCTTAGACTGTGTCGGTTTTACCCTCAAAATGAGTTTCCATTTTAAAGTGACCAGAAATCAACTTTTTTCTGCAGAGAAAATCCCCATTTTGGACAATCTGTTTCCAGAAATGTCCCTGATTTTTAAAATCTGATGAACGACGAAAAATAAAGTGGTTTGTGTCAACCAGTATTAGAAGCCATTTAGAAAGATGGTGCTCCAAGCAGCTGGTTGGGCTGCTTTTAAATACAGTCAGAGTAGCCTTTAAATAAAGTAGGACATAAGCAGAACCAGAAGCAGAGTTCATCCCTACTGTCCTGTGATTTTATGCCATATTTGCAGTGATTCATTTATTTCCACCGAAATGATCCTTGCTGTTACATTTGGCTGAAAAAAACTACAAGTGTCAATATTTACAGTAATAACTAAAAAATGAGTAGTGTAAAATAAAACAAGATTTTAAAGATATCCAAAGATGGATGTTTTAGAATAGACTAAAGATCTTCAGTTTGTATTTTTTTATTCATTAGTAGTTTGTTAACTCTATTATGATGGTTTGTGAACATAGACTTTTGGTATCTACTCAGTTTGGACATACTAATGTTGTTCACAAAACAAAGATAGAAGTAAGTGATAGAAGCTGAACTATGGAAATAAAGATAACCAGCTGCTTAAAAGTGCATTTAATCTTTTGAGCTCGTTGCTCAAAAAAAAAAAAGTTTTATTATTTCTAAAATGTTATATTAGAGGAATTTAATGGATTTTTTTGTTTTTGTACAGGCGTCTGTAGTGGGCACTCTTTTTTGTGGCTTTTAATTTGATACCAAAATGAAGAAATATATTGCGATGTATGTTTTGGGTGTATCGTCCAGCCCTATTCCAACATTCCCTTTTCTCTGTCCTGCTGCTCAGTCTCTGCCCTCCTGCTGTGGAGGGAGGAGCTTCCAAGGCACTGTGGCAGTTGAGCCCTTCACCCGATTCCACTCGCCTCCCTCAATCGGCACGGCATATATTCCTCTAGCTTTAGCAAAAGTGGGAGTGTTTTGGTGTCACTCTGTCCTTCATACCATGAATTCCTTGCTACCGTACAATACCAGGTGCTGCGGTATGTCAGGAGGGTCCCTGCTGGGCCCGCCGCCATTGTCTCTCATGTTCCGTCTGGCACCTTTAAGTTTTTGTCTCCCCTTCTCTGGATTGTATGTGCCACGGCTCGTGAACTGAGGCTGTTCGTCGTAGACGGCGTCCTGCTCTCCCGCCGGGCCGCCGTCGAAGCTGTCCGATCGGGAGGACTGAGATGTGTTCAGTGGCTGGGGCTGAGCGCGGGCGAGACTGGAGCCCACAGCCAGACGAAACCGGCGAGTGGCGGCGGAGGAGGGGGACGGTTGGAAGTGTGATGAGGAGGAGTAGGAGGAAACGGTGGAGCAAGAGTCGGTGGAGTCCAGAGAGTCGGGCAGCTGGGCCTGTGTCCGCCGTCGGGGGTCCTTCCCGTCAGCTCTGCGAGGCCATGGGGAGGACATCCTCGGTCCTCTCTCTGAAACCAGAGCTAAAGTCATGTACCCTTATGCAGCAGAAACAGACTAAACCACCTAACACTTTTTATTTGAGTTTCTGCTAAATGACATACCAGAGAAGTCAGAAATGGTGTCTTCTGAGTCCAGGTTGAGGTTTTCCGAGCTGTCGGCTGTACCGATGGAAGCTTCAGACTCCAGGGTCTCATCATCTGAAGCCCTTGGCTCCAGTGCCAGCATCTCAACCGTCAACTCCTCTCTGCCAAAGAAAGAACGTTTCACCAGGAAATGAGTAGAAATCATCATGAACAAAGTTTTCTTATATTCTGTATCCTATTCAGAGAGAGTGGTAAATGCAAATGCAAAACATGACCAACTTCTTCTTCTGAAGGTTTTCTATCTGCTCTGTCAGCACTCTGTCCTCCTGCTGCATGGCGGCCTGCTCAGTCATGTCCACCAGCGGCTCCGCTCCCTCTTCGCCACCACTGTCTTCTCTCGCCACGTCAGCTCTGAACGACAACCGCGGACTGGCCGGAGGCGAAGGCGTGTGGCGGATCAGCCGATGTCGATGACCTTTTCCCTGAGGAGCACATCAGCGCCACAAACACAGAGCTTTAAGGATACTGTTCAGTTTCTAATTTTTACTAATCAACCAACATACACTACAAAAGGGACTCAGATAGGATGAGAAGTGTGGCCTTTCTAAAATACAACACTTAAATGAAAGTGTCTCACTTTGGATGGAAACATCACAAGAGGCACAGATTTGGAGCGGATCAGCTGAGGCAACAATGAGCTACTGAAGAAACAATGTAAGAACTCATAAACCAGGACATGTTTTTATATAAGAGATGATCCAAGGATCATTGGTAATGAATTTTGGCCATTCAAGTATATTCTGATCCTGCTTATAAACCTTTTATTCCCCCTTTTGCCACACCACAAAAATTGTTTTCTCAAAATAAGTGCATTTGTTCTTGAATTGAAACACTTTGCAAATGGAACAAGAGAATTTACATTTAAAATAAGAGAAAAAACAATTATATTGTCTTATTTCAAGTGAATATTATCTAATTATCTTATTTTGAGAGTAAAAATATTCAGTCTATTGCCAAATCTTATTTACTTGCTCAACTAAATGGGTAATACACTTAAACCTATAGTGGAGGATGTTCTTTTTCCGGGTGGATCATCTAAATTAGTGGTCCTCCTAACTGTCAATCATTCTGGTGATATGTGTACATAAGATGGTCCTACATGCTCATCCCCAGTTAGCCATCTTTCACGCGTATATCTGTGGTGAAGTATGGTTTCAGACAGCTCACCTTTCTCACTGTGGTTCTTTGAAAATGGCTGAGGGTCATAAGAGAAAAGGTGTCTACGAAGTGTATGAGAAGAAAAGGAAGGGATATATCCCAGAATGCTTTGTACGGAGCGCTCTCCTCACAAAGCATTATGGGATTAGCTGTCAGAGCGTGCCGTTGTTGCCATATGCAGTTGCTGCCCGACAGCACCGACTAATAAAGACGGCGCAGGCACCACGCAGTGGAGGAGAATTTACGTGACCAACAGGGAGAAAAAACGAAAGTTACTACCGTAACTACGGTTCTATGAATCCCGGATGACCGCCAGAGGCGGTGCTTCAAGCACTGAATGATCATTCTTGCGCATGCGCAGGTCGAGTATTAATGACAACAAAGTCAGCTGTGACCTGCCGGGGACCCACGTGACTCTATATAGTCACGTGGCACCCGGCAATCAATCCCTCAATCTTCTCGCGAAAGCAGAGATTCCGAGGGACCAAGCACTCTGGCGGTCATCCGGGATTCATAGAACCGTAGTTACGGTAGTAACTTTCGTTCTATTTCATCCCAAACTGACCGCCAGAGGCGGTGCTTCAAGCACTGGATGACTCATATCAACAAGGTCACGAGGAATCAGCAACATTCAAGGAACAACGACTACACCACCCACCTAATGTGATGTAGAGGCATGCTGCTCGAGGATTCCCTGAAGCGGATGGGGCGCAGCCACATTCACCCTGTAGAACCGAGTAAAGGTACTAGGTGACTTCCAGGAGGCCGCACGGCATATAACATCCAATGGCACCCCAGTCATAGCAGCAAACGATGTCGACATGCCCCTTGTAGAGTGGCATTTCACTCCCGCCGGCAGTGGCCGGTCCTGCAAGGCATAAGCCTTGGAGATCAAATCCACAACCCAGTGTGCAAGTCGCTGCTTAGAAAGTGCCTGACCCTTCCGTGAGCCAGCGTAGCAAACAAAAAGGCTATTTGTCTTTCGGAAGGATGCCGTGGCATTGATGTATGTCTCAAGGGCACGGACAGGACACAGTGGTTCAGAGGGACTTCCGGAGTCAAACCGGGCAAGATGGAGAGGCTGGGTGCTGCCTGCTGGCAGTGATACCTTAGGAATAAATGCTACGTCAGCCCACAGTGTAACGCCTGAGCCATCAGGATTCCACCGGCAGCAGGGTTCGGCTATCGAGAGAGCCTGTAACTCCCCTACACGTTTTGCGGAAACCATAGCTAAAAGGAACGCAGTCTTCAGTGAGAGCCATTTGAGGTCCGCCGACGCCAGGGGCTCAAATGGGAGGGACCGAAGAGCCTCAAGCACAAGAGAAAGGTCCCACGCCGGTGCCACAGGGCGGTTGGGTGGGTGCAAACGCCGAGCACCTCTTAAAAACAGTACAACATCCTTGTCTCGGCCCACAGAACAACCATTCAGCCCAACATGCCAACAGGAAATGGCAGCCACATACACCTTTAAGGTAGATGGGGACCGTCCTTGATCCAGCAATGCCTGCAGGAAGGTCAGTATGTCAGAAACTGAGCACTGCACCGGGTCCTGCCCTCTATCACGGCACCAGGTCGCAAAGACCGTCCACTTGTTAGCATAGACAGCTCGCGTGGACGGCGCCCATGCATTAGCCATTGTATGCCCTATGGACCCAGTGTATCTTGAGAAGGTGGACCCCGGCCTTGCAGGGGCCAAATCCAGAGCTGGAGCCGGTCCGGTTCGGGGTGCAAGATCTGACCCCCCATCTGGGAAAGAAGATCTCTCCTGGAGGGGAGACGCATTGGCGAGCCGGAGCTGAGCTCGCACAGTAGAGGAAACCAAGTCCTCGCTGGCCAGTAGGGGGCCACCAGCAGGACCCTGTGCCCCTCCTGACGTACCCTGAGGAGAGTCTGAAAAAGTAGGCTGAATGGCGGAAAGGCATAAAGGAGGGTCCGGGGCCAGTCGTGTGCCAGAGCATCGTGGCCCAGAGGGCTGCTGTTGTCCAACGAGAACCAAAGGGGACAGTGAAATGCGTCCCTTGAGGCAAAGAGGTCCACGTCCGCCCTGCCAAAGACCTTCTAGATGCACTCCACCACCTCTTGGTGAAGCTTCCACTCCCCTGGAAGCGGCTTCTGACGGGATAGAAAATCTGCTGGCACGTTCTCCGGCCCTGGGATGTAGGCTGCTCTGAGGCTGGCTATGCGTGGAGCTGCCCAGGTCAGAAGCCGTCGAGTCAAGCACAACAGTTTCCTTGACCTCATTCCCCCCTGGTGGTTGATGTGAAAGACCACTGTGGTGTTGTCTGACCTCACCAGCACGTGCTTCCCCCGCAAGCCTGGAAGAAAGCTCTCAAGAGCCAGAAGTACAGCCTGTAACTCCAGGACATTGATGTGTTCCCTGCCCTGCCGCTGGGACCATGTCCCCTGTGCCATTTGACCCCGCCAGGTTGCACCCCAGCCCGTGGAGGATGCATCTGTAAACACAACTTCCCGACGACACGGGAGGGAACCGAGCGGGACCCCTGTGGTCATAAACAACCTCACCCTCCATTGGGACAGAGACTGAAGACACTGAGGCCCCACCCGAAGTCTTCGGAGACGATGAGTGTTCCGTGTGGGATCCAGATTCAAGCTGTTCAACCACATCTGGAGGGGCCGCAATGACAGCAGCCCCAAGGGCACTACGGCGGACGCAGCTGTAAGCATGCCCAAGAGTCGAAGATACCGCACAAGAGGCAGCGCCATGCCGCGCCTGAATTCCGGGAGCACGCTCAATATACTGTCCACCCGCTGGGGTGACGGGCAAGCAGTCATTGAGATGGAATCCATGGCAATGCCCAGGAAGACAGTCTCCTGTGAGGGAGTCAGACTGCTTTTCTCCATGTTCACCTGCAAGCCCAAGCATCCCACATGATGGAGCACTAACCGAGTATCTCGAACCGCCTGGTCCCACGTCGCAGCACAAATGAGCCAGTCGTCCAGATATGGGAGGATCCTCAATCCCTGTGCCTGCAGAGGAGAGAGAGCCGCTGCAACACATCGGGTGAACACCCTGGGGGACAGTGAAAGTCCGAACGGGAGGACCCTGAACTGGAAATGTCTCCCTTGAAAAGCAAAACGAAGAAACCGCCAATGGGGCGGAGCGATCGGAACGTGAAAATAAGCATCTCTGAGATCTATGGAAGTGAACCAATCGCCCGGGGAAATCGCCTGCAACACTTCCCTGGTGGTCAGCATATGAAAGGGCATGGCCTTCAAGTACACATTCAGGCCCCTGAGGTCCAAGACTGGACGCAGGCCCCCGGTCTTCTTCGGAACCAGAAAATACTTGGAATAAAAGCCCCCTGGATCCAGCAGGGCGTCCACAGGCACTATAGCACCCTTGGCCAGCAAGGTGCAGATTTCTTGGTTCAGTGCCTGTGCCTTCACCGGGTCGTGGATCACAGTCATCCTGACCCGGCCAGGGATAGGTGGCCGGCGGCGGAATTGAAGACGGTACCCCCGGGACAGGGTGGACAACACCCACAAGTCCGGGGTGTGGGCAGCCCAGAAGCTGAGCTGTCCCGGGGAAAAATAACCGACCGCCGGCCCTAAGGCATCATCTGCGGGTCCCCCGGCCCTTCGAAGGCCCGGGTGGACGCCGGCCAGACTGCGCGGCTCGAAAGGGATGAAAGGACCTCGTCCCAGCCTGGTCTCGAGCTCTGTTCCTCCAATCTAGAGCAGGTCTCTGGACCGATCTCTGACCTGGTAACAGACCCTGGGGCTCAGTGGGAGAAGGAGAAGGCACTAAGGACCTCCGTGAAGGACCTGCAGCTGCCCAGGTGCTCACTGGCTGGCGATCACGTCTGTGAAGCCCTGCCAGCTGTTGCCTCGTTCTAGAGGCCTGAGCCGTACGGTCCAAGGCGTCCAGTGCCGCTGAACCAAAAAGCTCCCCCGGGACCACAGGCAGGGCACGGAGGGTCCTCCTACAAGGCTCAGTTAGTGGTGACTGCGCCAACCAGACCTGGCGGCGAGCATGAACCAGTGTGGAGAGTGTGCGTCCAAGTTCCCTCGTCATAAGAGCAAAGGCCTGCAGAGATGCATCAACCAGGCCTTGCGTGGCATGATCCAGCGGAACAGATTCCAAGGAGGAAGACAGGGCCAGCATAAGATGGGAGAGAGAGTTCCCAATCCGGCCCATGCGGGCCCCAGAGTCATAGGCCTTACAGAGAAGGTCGTCGGTAATACGGCACTGAGGACGCGGACAACGGGCATTGGGCCGCAAGGCCTCATCAGGCGGGATTATAAGAGAGGCAATGCCCGGTTCCACCGCTGGCATCTGCCCCAAGCCAACCTTGGGTGCCTCCTGCATAGCTGCCAGGACCCTGCCATCCGTCGTCAGACGTGAAAACGCCTTGGTGTCTGACCAGCAAGCATGCAGTTCCCGCACATACTCCGCCGAGGGAGGAACCACAAAGGCAGTCTCTGACCTACTGCGCCTAAAGAAGGCGCTGGAAGCCGCAGGCTGGGCCTGAGGAACACTAATCTGTAAACGGGCAAGAGCCGTTCGAATAGCGGATGTCACAGACTCCCCCGCATCCTCCTGGGAGGCAATGGAGTCCGACCCGGAGGCCCCGGAGCCCAGCTCCGGAAGGTCCTCACAGAAATGGGTGCCAGAGGCCGCCACAGAAACCGCATCGTCGTCATTGACTGACGTTTCATCCTGCTCGGTAGGGAGAGCCGTGCCACGATCACCAGCAGTCTGAAAGGGCTGGAGGAGGGCTTTCATTTGGGCCAGCTCAGTAGTGAGATGATCCACTCTGGTGGACAACCTCCCTGCATCGGTCCGTCTAGCACGCTTCGTCGGTACCGAAGGTGCAGCCACAGTAGATCGTTTGCACACCGCTTTCTCCATCGGCAAACGAGCACGCGGCGAAGCGCCCGCCCAGTCGGTAGGCTGCTCCAGTGCAGCCAACCGATCCAGTCTGACCGACCGGGGCATGACGCGACAGTTGGGGCAAGCGTCATCTGACAGCGCCTCCCGGAGATGTTCCACACCGAGGCAGGAGGGACACAAGTCATGCCCGTCATCCGGCTGAAGTGGAGCCAGACAGGTCGAGCAACATAAATTATCCAGCATCATACTGCTGAAAGGCGTGATCAGCCTGCTACCAAGGACAAGTCAACACGAGCAGGAAACGCTACTGGCGACTCGATTATTAACTAAAGATGAACTCAGCACGAGCAGAGACGCCACTGGTGAGTTTAGGCAAACAAACTATAGAAGAACCCAACGCGAGCAGAAACGCTACTGGTGGGCTTAGGCAAACAAACTGAAAACAACTCAGCGCGAGCAGAAACGCCACTGGTGAGTGTAGATAAACAAACCATAGAAGAACCCAACGCGGGCAGAAACGCTACTGGTGGGCTTAGGCAAACAAACTGAAAACAACTCAGCGCGAGCAGAAACGCCACTGGTGAGTGTAGATAAACAAACTATAGAAGAAGCCAACGCGGGTAAAAACGCTACTGGTGGGCTTAGGCAAACAAACTGAAAACAACTCAGCGCGAGCAGAAACGCCACTGGTGAGTGTAGATAAACAAACCATAGAAGAACCCAACGCGGGCAGAAACGCTACTGGTGGGCTTAGGCAAACAAACTGAAAACAACTCAGCGCGAGCAGAAACGCCACTGGTGAGTGTAGATAAACAAACTATAGAAGAACCCAACGCGGGCAGAAACGCTACTGGTGGGCTTAGGCAAACAAACTGAAAACAACTCAGCGCGAGCAGAAACGCTACCGTGAGTCAAAAGAGCCACAAAATTAACGTGGCAAATCAAAGCGAACAGTAAACTACTGCTGAGAAAAGAACGAAAACTTACCAGTCACCGCAGATCTGGTAAGGAGAAAGCAGCTTGTGCAGCCCCTGGAGGGCGAGACTTACCCGCAGCTCCGACCAAACCCGGTCACGGGGCTACCAGCAACAAGCAGCCAGGAAACTAGTGGTATACACAGAAGCAACCAGCTTCACACGACCACACTCCTGTACTCAACACACCTGCGCGCGAGAAGAACAAAAGGGATTGATTGCCGGGTGCCACGTGACTATATAGAGTCACGTGGGTCCCCGGCAGGTCACAGCTGACTTTGTTGTCATTAATACTCGACCTGCGCATGCGCAAGAATGATCATTCAGTGCTTGAAGCACCGCCTCTGGCGGTCAGTAGGGATGAAATAGAAAGAGTGATCATCTTTATGAATGGTCATTCAACTAAGTCTCCGCTCTATATAGTGATTGAGGAATTTAGGGATTAGGGCGATGTTCAGACACAGTAAGCTCATATGAGCTATGAGAACAGCATCTTTTAAACAGTGTGTACAAAGAGAAATGGGCTTGTGCACGCTCTCGCACGCGTTTAATAGACGTTCCCTCTGAGGAGCGGGTACAGGGTTGTGCATGTGCTTTTTTTTTTTTTAAGTTTAAGTTTTCAAAAATTTGCTAAACTCCTCCACAATACCTTTAACTTAAGAATTCTTTGCTTATTTCTAGATAATTTTTGCAGTGCAAATCTTTTCAGTTTTTTGTTTAATAAATGTTTTGTTTCAAGTATTATTTCCAATATGTTCAAATTATCCATTTTATTAATATAAAGCACAAACAGAAATAAAAGGAACCAATAAACTAAAAATGCACATTCTCTGATAAACTCTTTTGATCCGATACCTTTTGTGATGTCACCACAGGCATCAAAAAATGTACGACAAAATAACTCATTATGAAATCTATAGACAATGAACTACATTGGATTAGTGTGACTTGATTTCAACAGAAATCAACTCTTTTCTCTACCTAAAAACAGTGACAGCACGACATGTAGTCAAAATATTGATTAGACCACAGGGCACAATCACACAACTTTACCTTCTTGCATGTATTTGCCAGCTTTGTGGAAAAGCAACAACAGAAGGAAAGTTTTTTTTATGATTCTCTAATGTCTCAGGAACAAGCAACAGAAACGCTGCCCAGATGCTTTTTTTAACCTCATCTTGGAAAATTGAAGACAGTTTATCAGGTAGGAGAGAAATAAAAAACAGCAATATGGGATATATATAAAAAACACTAAAGCATATAGATAAAGGGAACTTTAATAGTTATCTTTTTTCCAAATTTAGCTAAAAATATAAAATAAAAAATATTGAGAAAAGCACTTTTTATCTCCACTGAAACTAATACAGTATAAAAAGCATTTAACAAATCCTATTAGAGCAGACCTCTTTAAATGAATTAAATTAAACTGTTGCAACTGATGTTATATATTTTCTTTAACTGAAAAGAAGTATATATGCAACTGTATGTAAAAAATCCTCTCGGATTCAACCTGCACAAATCAAATTGTGCAGTTTTGTTAGATCTGTGCTTAAAGGCTATAATAAGCTGTTGGAACCAATTGTCTAAGAGCAAAAGCATGGCTCCTAAAAAGAGCATAAAAAAAGTTAGAGACAAATTTCAGAAGAAGTTGGTGTTCCAGTCTGATCCGGGTCAAATATTTGAACACAGAACAAACTGAATGTAGATGTTGAACTGGTGAACTCATCCAGGGTTCCTACACATCTGTAATGTCCAAATTTCAGATTTTTTTAAAAGATATTTGCCTTATTTTCTCAGTTTAAAGTAGCAGAATTCTTAGTTTATTTCTGACCCATTCTAGTAAACATCTGTAGTTCTGGAAATAAATTAATTATCCCTTCAATTCAAGGTAATTAAGTCACTTTTGTTTAGAATCATGATAATAATACATCTGATTATTCATCAAAGAACATAATCTTTTCTGTAGAAAAGGCAGATAGTTTCTAAGACATGCAGAGAGTGAGAAGTTAAACACAATTTAAAGGTATAGTGGAGGATTTTCACAAATTTTTGAAAAGACCCGCCCCGCTCTCTCAACTTAAAAAAAAAAAAAAAGCACAAGCACAACCCTGTACCCACTGCCAAGGGGAAACACCTATTAAATGTGTGCGAGAGCGTGCACGAGACCATTTCTTGCTTTTTGCATCACTCATACAAGCTTACTTTCCAAAACAAGATTTGAAAATCCTTATGTGAAGATATCACCAGAATGATTGCCAATTAGGAGGACCACTTATTTAGATGATCCACCGAGAAAAAAACAAAACATCCTCCACTATACATTTAAAATGAAAGTTGGAGAAAGTTAAAATAAAATACACTTGTCAAAGTTTTAATCCTGCTGCTGTAAGAGAATGTCAGAACCCAAATAAATATTATAGTTTTTATAAGTGAAATCTGGGCCTGAAAGAATACAAGTGGATCCAAGAGAATTTCCACTATAGCATCAATGGGGATGTTTTTTTTACTGCTCCTCAATACTAGCAGAAAAAAAAGGGATTTCAATCCCAACAATACTATTTAAATATATCTTAATATAAAACTGAATTAACGTTGTGCTATAAAAGTTATCCAATTTTTATTTGTTACTACAAAAGCTTTAAAACTGTTTGCTCTTTATATATTTTCTACTCTTTGTAAAGTATTGATAGTGCAGCTTTTTAGGTAACGGACGTGAAATGTTAGAAGAAAGCAGCTATTATATGATGGCTGGATTATTTCAAAGCCAAGCAGACATTTTCCAGGCGTTCGGTCGTCTCTTACCATCGATCGTCGAATAAGGCTCAGTTTGGTCTTGGCTTTGTTCTCAGCAAACTCCAGTGTACTGATGTCCTTTAGTCGGACTTTGTACTTTGTCATCTGTTCACAAATGATGAGCTCTACACACCTAAACAAGGAAAGAAAAATAAGAAACGTTCCATGTCAAGAAAGACAAATGCCACATTATTTTACTGACTGAGTCACATGATGCTGCTCTGCTACAGGGACAGTAAAATGAACCAACGAAATACTGACTTCATCTTAATCATCATTTCCCTTTCCTTTCTAAAATCTAAAGTCTGTCTGATGATCTGGGTCAGTCATCCTGGTACCTTATTGTTCTCACATGGAATAGATTAATTTAATTGAACATCCTCTCTTAATTATTTTTCCTCTGAGTCATGCGTCTCCACACTGAAATGCCCACACCACACCTCGCAGAAATAATAAAAATGATTGATATCCAAGGTATAAAAAGAGTACATCATCTCTTAATTCTATTCTCTTACGTATAAGGCAACAATAATAATAATCCAGTATTTAAAATGTTTATCTAATCATCTAAATCTGTACTAAAGTCTAACAACCCACAACCGGTTCCACACAGCCATTATTTATCAAATAATGATGAGGCCAATATGGAAGATCTAGAGGGTGTGGAGCCCTTTCTTCTTTCTTTATTTCCAATTGCACTTGATTCATTTAGCTTTACTCATGTAAATAACTATTAAAGCTAAACATTTGTCAGTTTGCAGATCCATAGCATAAGGTATGTACCAAGAAGGGAAGACATCAAAAATGACTTTAGGGAAGTAAATGTTTTTAAACGGCTTAAAATTACCAAACCTTCACAGTGAAATCCCCAAAGATCGTTGTCAGTAGAACCAAAAGTTAATGTCCAGCAAGTTTAACTGATGTCTAAAAAATTGCAAAAACCTGAAAGCTCCAACTCAGACTTTACAGGTATCAGTGAGCACATTTAATGCTAAAGGTCTGATTGACTCTGTCTTTTTTTGGTGAGATGGCTGCAGAAAAAAAGCCCAGTTTCTTTAAATGGCAGCATTCATTAAAGCAAATGCTAGCAACATGTATGCAGAAAATCTATCTTAAGAAATCAGCACAAAATGTTCATACCAACTATCGAGCACGGAGGTGGACTAATCATGATTGGTCAACCATGAACTGCTCTGTGTATAAGAAGAATGGAGAATTAAATGAGAAGCCATTTTCAGGTACGTAGCAGCTGATCTTGGCTAAATTTGAGGTCATTTACATTAGCAGCCATTCAAAATTTCCTTGATGGGCCCTTGGCTTGTCATCTAGAATTCCTTTTTAAACATCAATATTTATGCTTGAATATTTGCTGTTAATATATTTCACCAGCATATTCCACTCCATTTTAGGAAAGACACCCTTGGAATAATGCGTGAGTATCAAAAATTGCTTACGAACCTTGAGCTCAGCGCTATTGCTGACATTTTGAATTGAAAAAGCTTCCTGGATGGGAAGCGAAACATCTTCAAACTTGAAAAAAAAAGTCCAGTTGACTGTTTTGGAACTTTTTTTGGAATAATAAAATATTCGTTCTGTCATGATTTGTGGACATTAAGATCTAGAGAGAAGCGTTATCTCCTGGTCAGACCCTGGAATTCAGTGAAAGGTTGGAGTCAGAGTAAAAAAATATGCAAGAGGGGCTTTTGCAGTGGGTTGAATTTGGAGGGGATTTCGCTTTGAGTTGGAGGGTTGTTTAACTAGGAAGGGCCATTTTGAACGAATGCTACTGTATGCCAAATGCACCAAGCTCATTAGCTTCTGACCCAAAAAATGGTATCAAAGTAGACTCATTACACAAAGTATTGTTGAGTACAGACGATTTCCAAAAAAAACAAATTCCATGGGTGTAAAAATATCAAGAACAGCTTCCACAACCAAAGAGGTTGGTTTTGATCATTTTTAAATGTGTATATATATATATATATATTTCAGCACTTTAACGTGAATGTTTTTGTTTAGTTTTTGTTTAATTCTGGGAATTAATCATATAAGCGATGGAGAAATGAAGAGGACAGTTTGTCTACAGAAGTGATACAGAACTTAACTTTTAAGAGCTGTTGCTGCTCAAAGGGGTTTTAATACAGAATTGATTTCCTTTGCCTACAAGCAGCTTTTTCAAATTTGTTTTCACCTTTGAATGAGCAATAATAAAGTGGACTCTGCTATGTGCTTTTATCCCCTTGAGTTTGGATTTATTTAACTTTCAAACCTGCTGCAGGTCAGATCTCTTCCATTAAACTCTGACATGGTGAAGCTTAGAAAGCAAACAGCTCTTCTGTTTTTTAACCATGGCTGCGGGCTTATGCTTACGCCGTCGTCCTGCTGATGTCCTGGACGCTCCGCAGAGGATCCGTGGTGTCCGGGCAGCGAAGGATGCAGGGAGCAAAAACTATCGCCAGGGCATTAGCCGACATGCGGTTCGTCTCCTCTTCCAGGGAGATCCTGAAAGAATCAAATTAGAGCATTTAGTTCATCTATTTTAGGTCAGCTGGACCTTAACTGCTCTCTGAGATACTTTTATAAACAGCCCCATGTACCGTCTGCAAGTGTAATGAAAAGGACAAATCCAGCAGCTAGAACTGTTGAGTGGATGTTTATTGATAAAACTTAAAGTTCAGGGAAAGCATAGAAGAATTTGAAGGTTTCCTTTTAAAGATAACTTCAGCATCGTCATCATCTACAATAATGAAAAGTATCTGAAAATGTTTTCTTTTGAGTATGACAGAATTCCAAGAACAACTCTGACCAGACAGTTACAGAACAGCTAATTTTTCATCTTTCTATATCATATGACTACAGAAGTGTTATGAGATAATTAAAGGGAATAAATGAGGGATGAGAGCGGAAATGTTTGTGTTTTAAAATAAAATACTCAGTCCTTGGTGATAAAAGCTTGAAAGACCACTGGAAAGCAAAGTGAACGTTAAAGATGAATACAGTCTAATTATTTCAAGCTATCTACAGAGAAAAGGGGATAATTCAGCAGTTCAAGTTTGCAATTTATTTCAATGAACAGCAAATATTTGGTCAAATGGAGCTTTACTATTTGTTTAGTAATCATTTAGTATTACAGGAAACTGAATTTGTCTACTGGTCTAAAAGGATGCTTCCTTCTATTTCCGTCTACTGTTCAGAATGAGGCATGTCTGCTCAGTCAGATGGATCTTCCTTAGACACACCTTTTTACCAACTGGCACCATTTGATTCAGGAACTGTTATATCACTGGGTTATAGTAACTGGTTCAGATCTTAACTACATGATTTTAAGAAACTACACTGGCTTTAAATAAACTTTGACCGATCAGAGTTTCTGTTGCAGTGACTGATTTAGAGACTTAATCTAAATGCCTTGGGATCAGTTTTAATTTGATGGTACGCTGGTGCCACAGCAAAGGACAAGGGCAGACTGCAGCGTGTCATCCAGTCTGCAGAGAAGGTGATTGGCTGCAATCTTCCATCTCTCCAGGAACTGTACCCCTCCAGGACTCTAAGGCGTGCAGGGAAGATTGTGGCTGATCCCTTGAGTATATAGTACAGTATATCCCTTGAGTATATAGTATATACAGTAGTAGCCATTCAAAATGTCCCCTCTTTCATGATGGGCTAGTCCCTTACAATTCATTTTTTAAACATCAGTCTATTTACTAAAATATTCTTTCTTGTGGACATTTAGATCTAAAGAAAAGCGTCATCTCCTGGTCAGACCCTGTAATTCAGTGAAAGGGTGGAGTGAAAAATATGCACGCCCAGAAGAAGGTCACTCCAGTGGCTGGAACTGCAGGGAAGTAGGCTGCCATTTTGAATGCTCTCTCTCTCTCGCTCTCTCTCTCTCTTTCTCTCTCTCTCATATAATTCTTTTGCAACTAATGAACTGTTTTAAAGAGTATGAAATAAGTTTTTAGTGTTATTTTAGTTGAAAGAACTGGTGCAGAAGAAAGAAAGGATCGTCGTCCTCTGACCTGACGAGATGAAATATGAGGCGTTCCAGGGTGTTCAGATGAGTTCTGCTGAGCTGATCGATGACAGAGTAAACCCCCCGAATTGTTTCCTTCTTGTCTTGCAAACCTGGAGCCAAAGCAAAGACAGATCTCCATTCCCAGCTCCAGACAATAAAAACATACCTCACACCCAATCAACAGTCAGATGCTAACGGCAGAATAAACTACGCAGATCACGTACTCATTGCTCGGATGAACTCCTCATACAGCTCAAACGTCATCAGTGGATTGGGAAGGTCTCTCAGCCACTGTTTGAAGACGCTAGCAATAACGTGGATGTTGTAATCATCAAGGTTCATGTTTTCTACATCTGCAAGTTCAAACAGGGAAGCTTTAGAAATCACATTTAATCACTTCATCCCCTTAAGAGTTTGTCCTCAATATTTACCGTTGTCAAGCCCGAGCTTGAGCTCCTTAATTTTATTGGTGGACCCTGATTTCCTGTAAATTCCTTCAGTGTAGAGGCCATGCATCTCTATGTGGTTGATCAGTTTCTCCACCACCAAAGGAACAGTCCTCTCATCATTAGTGAGGCGAGAAACCTCCACTCCAAACTGTCTGGAGGACAACTCTGGATCCAACTGTTCAAAGACGACCAATAAATATGTTAAGGTCTAAAAAAGATGCAGTCAAAAGCCCTCAAACAATGACCTTTTACAATTTGTCTGAGCTGCAACAGAAATACCACCGTTTAATTTAACCCGATCAATGTCAACGGAAGTCATGAGGAGGTAAGTCAATATGGCTGACTCACCTTCTTGCTACATTTGGTGGTCGTCTTCTGGCAGCACTTTCTGTGGCAGGCGTACCGGCACACTGGATGGACACAACCAGACAGATCAAACAAGTCATTCCTGTTATCCACAGAGAGGCAGTGTCTCCTCATTATTCACTTCAAGTTTTAACAAAAGCAGCAAAAAAACAAAAAAAATGCTATCGATTAAAGGACAAAAGTGGTATTGGCTGGCACGAAGAAAACATCCTGGTAGAAGAAAACTGTGCAGAGAAAGATCTGGAGAGACATGGAGCTGCAGACCTCATGAGTCCAGTTGAAAACAATCTGATTAGGGAAAGTAAGGAGGGAGATGAGGCAGAGCCTGAACACAGTCAGGCACACATTAGATTTCCCAGTGTTTGGGCAAAGCTTTTTCACAGTGCATACTTTATAAAAAAAAAATGCAATCTGTACATAAGTGACTTGCACACAATATGCTGATGATCTTGTCTTTTATCTATCTTTTCCATTTGTAAGCTGAAAGCTAGAATGAGTTGGAATCAGTGACGGCTTTGAAAATTTGTTTTTAAATGTGTTTTTCTATAGACTTTTTAATTAATTGATTAACTAGAGATGCCCAACAGCCATAGACCTTTTTACTTTGAAACCTTCTTATTTGCGATTTGTGGGTCAAGAGAGCTGCACCACATTTGTAAAGGTAATCATCTTATTTTATATTCACACTTACATTTGCACACACAGGCGCGTTCCATCATCCAGATAAGAGAGGAGCAGTATTCACAGTATGTCGGGATGCTGTACTGAGTGGATTTGAAGATGTGTCCATTATGTTCCTCTACCTACAGAGGGCAGCAAAGTGCGAATTAGCACAAAACTTCCTACTACTTAAAAAGGTAAACTAGGTTAACTCATCATGCGTCGTCCTTAATACATTCTAAATAGGAGACTTATCAGACTTACAATATCGGTGTCCTTTTTTCTGGGTTTTTTACGCTGGGGTCGAGGCAGGGGCTGTTTTAGGAAAAGAAAAAAACAGATTTACATTATTTTTGTTGGGCTAAAAAATAAAACAATGTAATGTCTAACATTAAAATAAGGAGGCAAGACAGACATAAAAGTCAAAGAATTCAAAGAGAAACAATTTAAAACCATTTAAGAAATTGTTTACCAGATTTATGTGATGGAAAGGATCTGTTTTTCCCTCCAATTAGAAAAAGAAAACTTTTATAAGATTTGGTCCAAATAGACTGAGTATGTGAAAGCAATTAGATCTGACTTCATTTGATTGTTCTTCTGAAATATGTCTTGCCCTCTTATGTCTTTGTGGTTTTTATTACTTGAGGTGGTGCGATCCCCATTACTGTTTAATTCTGTTCATTTTTGTTATCTTTACAATTAAGTTAGTGATATTCTGTAATAAAATACCAGAAAGGCAACATGGACAAAATCCCTTGGACTTTCTGCTTATATCTTCAGTTATAATCTTAAATGGATGAAGCTGTGATTATTGATGTGATGTAAATCTGTCTTTCTAAAAAAAAAAAGAAAAAAAAAGAAAAGAAAAAAATTAAAAAGAAAACGCTTGATGAACTGAGATCCTAAACAACATTGGTGATTTTTTTCAGGCTGTGGGTGAGAGAGAGAGCGCCAGAACTGAGTAGATAACAGGAAGGCTAAACGGGGCTAATGAAAATGGTCTAATATACACTTTTTCCGCTTTCATACTTTGAAAAGGTCAAATGGTTTTGAAAATCATGGGAGCCTTTTGGAAATTTCATTGTTAAGGTTCTACACTGCAAAAAATTTAAATCTAAGTAAGTCCCTTTTTTCTTAAAATAACTAAATTTGTTCTTGATTTTAAGAGGTAAGTTAGACAAGACAATTCACATTTAAAATAAGAAAAAAAAACAATTACGTTTTTTCATTTCAAGTGGATAATATCTAAATATCTTATTTTAAGAGTAAAAATGCTCATTCTTATTTACCTACTTAAATTAAGGGTACATTTATTTAAATATTTTTACTTCAGTTTTTGCATTACACGACTTAAATCCAACCATGTCTTCAAAGAAAAGGTTTTGCAGTACTGACATCAGCAATATTACCTTGCTGAGAGTGCTGTCCATCAGTTTGTACTCAGTCATGAACTCATCCAGGAAAACTTTAAACGTATTGACCCAAACTTTGACAGGTGACTCCCTCCAGTCTCTTTGCTCCTGTCTCATTGTCTTTTCCAGGATCTGCTCAAACAGAGCATAAAGGTCCTTGTAACGGATGTCCTTACTGTCATCCATCTGCAGAGAAAACATTCACAGGAAAAGCAGGCAAAATGTTAAACGAAAATATAATCAGCTTCAAGGAAACAACATAGGTACAGATGTAAACAACACCATACGTACCACAAGTGCTGTGGAGAAGAAGTTGAAGATGTTTAAACGGAACTCCTTCAGAGCCTTTTTAAAGACTACGTCCACCATGGTGTCCTTCTTACTGTCCTCAGTCTCCAAATCGTTGATCTAAAGTGCAACAGGTCACCAATCAATACAACTAATCTGAATCCTGATCTATAGTTTGGACAGACATGACTAGGCTGTACCTTCTTTAAGAGGAAATCATTCATGCTCAAGTAGTCGTTGATGCAGGAGAGGATCTGCAGCGCGTCGTTCTGCCACTGAGCGGGCTCCAGAGCCACGCTGCTGATCTTCACGCTCCGCCTGTGCTTCACCTTCGGGGACGCCTCCTTGTTCTCCTTCAAGTCCCTGACGCTTCGGTCCAGAGTCAGGTCAGGACTGCAGGGAGGCGACATGTTTTCCTGGCCAGCTGCATGAATCAGAGACACTTTGTAATGACAAAAATGAAATGAAACAGGCAGAAAAACAGAAACAAAGAGCAAATAGACATCTCACCGTCCCCCAGAAGTGGCCCAGACTCTCCATAGTCTCCATCTATGGACTCTGCCCCACAGATCAGCTTTTCTCTGGACGTCTTCTTATCCCCGTACTTCGATTTTCCCCAGAAACGCATCCTCCCACGAACCCTGATTCAAAAGCATTCACAATATAGACACATTTAGTATATATAAACAAGGAAAATCTGAAAAATAATTAAAAAAAAAATGGACACCTGCACTTTAACAAACCTTCCATCTTGTGAATTTTTACGCAGTGACTCCACCTTGCCTAAATCTCCTGATGACATGGCTTTGTGGATCTTTTTTTGTTCTTCGGGACTCAAGGGCTAAAATAAAAATAAAAAATACATAAAAATAAAAATGTCACCTACAGCCTTCTTTGTCCCAAAAGACGTTTTATTCCCCTATGGTCTAGAAAAAAAATCCAGTCACAACCCAAAGTTTTGCCACAAGTACAATACATCTTCAAGCTTGGAAAATTTAGACTCTTAAGGAAATGGAAGTAGAATATTGATGCAGTAAATTAAGTAAATTAAATAAATAAGAAGTAAATTGATGCAGATTAATTTATTACAAAAAGCAGCCTTAGTATTAGAACAGTGTTTACACTGCAAATAATGTGTATATTAAGTCATTTTTTTTATAAAATAAGTGCATTTTTTCTTGAATTGGTGAAGTAAGTGAGACATTTTGCCAAAGGAACAACATAATTTACATTTAAATTAAGAAAGAAACAATTGGATTGTCTTATGTCAAGTGCATATTATCTAATTATCTAATTTTAAGAATAAAATCTAATTCCATTGGCAAATCCTCTTAATTACCACATTAAGGGTAAATATAATTAATTTAAGAAATTGTTACTTATTTCTAGCTGGTTTTTGCAATGTAGCTACATGTCAAAATACTAGTATATGGTGAAAAATAGTTCAATATTTTGTGTGGCTGACATCAGAAAGAGAAACTCAAACTAGAAAAAGCTGTTTCGGAGAAACAGCAAGTGGGAATGCTTTTGCTGAATGAAAAAAGCTGAAATTACCTGAAGAACATATGAAAATGTGATAGGAAGTCATCAGAAACTTCAAACTGCAGAAAACAATTGAATCATCTGAAGATTTTGTAGGGTAGAATCATTTGGCAATAAAATGGCAGAAACAAACTCATCTTTAAAGCTGCACAGCCAAACCATACATGATATCAAAAAATGTCTTGAATGTGGGCACTAGAGGGGTCTTAATATAATGTCTCCCAAGTTTCTAGAAAGATGTATAAAGAAATTTTGAAGGGGGGTTTACCTACTTTCCAGAAACATGTCAGGTGTGTTATGAATTAGCAGCAAACAGAAAAGCTTAATTCCTGTCCAGAAAGAGAGCAGAATGAAGCCAAAGTTCACACCATAGGCTGAAAAGTATTAAACTAGCTGAATCAGAAAATAAATTACAAAGAAAAACTTTAATCTTATCTGGTTGAAGAAAAAATTAGTAGCTTAAGGATGGGAAGTAAAATGTTGAGGACGATGGTATTGAATAAGTATTAAAATTTTGAAATCATATGTGGAACTGTCAAGACTTGGCAAAACAATTTGAAATTATTTAAAATGTGTCGGTTGATCAGCATAAAGAAAACAGTGTCATCATTTGAGGATTGAAAATCTACAAACCTATGTGCAAGACTAACCATGAGAAGCAGAGGAAGGACAGAGAGAGAAGCTTATAGAAATAGGGCTAATACCACTTAAGGAGCATGAATTTATAAAAAAAAAACTAACCTGCATGATACGAGCCGCTGTGGTGATGAAAGCACCGTTGGCAGGCTTAGGCTGCATGTTACGAGGTTAGCAGATGCTTTATTACAGTGTAAATCTTAGAGCCTTATTAAGAAATGTAAACTGAGGTGTGTGATCAACAGGCCTTGGTAGCGTAATTTGAAGAAATTGGTTGACTTTGGGTAGCTACAAGCCATATGGCACAATGGATGAGTGTGTGTAAGGAAGAGGCTTTTATTTTGTATGGTCCCTTTAGTCTTATTTTGAAAGTCCATCATGGATGTGTGTCAAGGGAAGGGTCATGCCCAGCAGTGATATAGAATCCATTTCTAAATATGAAATCACTGGTTTTCCAGTAAATGGGAGACTTTTATTGTGAAATTCGCTCTGGGGTATGTTTTGAAAAGGTCCCTAGAGTCTAATAGAAACAAGGTGGTAGAGTTTGGGTCATAATGCTGAGCCATTTGCACCAATTAATACACAAGTATAATATAGAGGCTTTTATGTTGTAGAGTCACTGGAGTCTTATTTTGAAAGTCTAGCAGGGTTGTGTGTTGAGAAAAGGGTCAGACCCAGCAGTGATACTTGATGACTTTCCAATCGTTGAATCACTCTTTTCCCCTGTTATTAGGGCAGTAGATAAAGTGGCAATGGGAGGCTTTTATTTTGAAATTTGTTGTGGGGCATGTTTTGAAAAGCCCCCTAGAGTCTAATTTTAAAAAAGTGGTTGAGTTTGCGTCATAATGTTGAGCCATATGCTGGGAAAAAAATATGAGTTTAATGTAGGGGCTTTATTTTGTAGGGTCCCCAGAGTCTTATTTTGAAAGTCTATCAGGGTTGCGTGTGAAGGGAAGGGTCATGGCCAGTAGTCACATTGTATCCATTTCCAAATGTTAAATCAGTGTTGTCTCCCTCCATTAGATTAAGGCCCCTTCCACACGAAGCCAAACCCTGGCCTAAACGCACAAATTTTTCATCAAACCAGCCTCTCATCCATACAAAGCCGGCGTTTCGGGGGTCTGTAAACGATCTTTTTTTTTATTAAGCCTTCAGAGTGGGAAGATTTTGAAACGCCGTTTTCGCGTTTCCATCTTTAAGCTCTAACCGCATTTTTTTTCTTACACGCATGCGTCATAGCGTCGCCTCTAAACACGCATGCGCGACACAGTATCACAACAACAATGGCGCCGTACTGTGTTGAATGGTTGCTGCTCATGCTACTCACCCTGCTGTCGGGCTTACAACAGAATCTTCTTCTTCTGGAATCTCTCCAGGAAGAACAGAGCAATATCGACGACATAGTTCAGCACCTGACTTTGACTGAACCACGAAAATGGACCCGCAGGGCAACCATGTATAAATATTAGTGCGCATGCCCAACATTTCGTCGCCTATTTTTGCTTTGGCACCACAGCGCCACTTACAGGCCTGGCATACATTTCGCAGCGTTTTCATGCATTCGTCTGGACGATCACATTTATTTTACGTCTCCGTCTTTCCGACAAACGTTCTGGAAAATATTAGCGTTTCGTGTTCGTTTTGACTTCATGTGGACGGGGCCTAAAATGTGCTGTTTAAAGTGGCAGAGGTAAAAATCCCTTTGAAGCTTGGTTACCTTGACAACGCTTAACTTTGAACCTGTCAGTGACAGAGAGAAAGACGCAACAGTATTGTTCCTTTCCTCTCAGGCTTTTTTGAATGGGAAAATCAGCTCCGAACAAACAAGTGCTGAAGGCAAACCATAAATGGTCTCTAAAAAACTCTTTCAGTCTAAGCAACAGCTATCCTTTGTCTCAGATTGGGTTAACTTTCATGGCTGTAACTCATTCGCAACCTTAATGGGAAGGAGAAATAAAAAGGTTTGTCACTCCTGCTGGTCTCATTAAATAACTTAAAGCTCCATGGTAGAGCAGAGCTCTCAAAAGCAAAACTTTCCCTCCAAACAAACGAGCGTTGAGCCAAAACCGTAAAAGGTATTCAAAAACTTCTTTCACTGTTGGCGTCAGCAATCCTTCAGCTTCAACAGTGCCAACTTTCATGTTTCTACTAAAAACTATTTGGCCACGGTGACGATGTAAAAATTTGTTTTTTCTGAGTATGAGGATTTTTCTCAGAATCAATGTTTTCCTATGCCCGAACAAGTCAGTTAAACAGCTAAACCATAAATGATATTGAAAGAATTCCTTCAATGTGAGTGCTAGAAGGGTCTGAAGATGTTCTATACCAAGTTTCATCTTTGTACATCAAACAGTTAAGAAATGGGAGCGATACGAAAATATGTATCATTTTGGATTTTCGGATGTGATATTTGGCAAGTCTCTCATTGGATTTCTATTGGGGAAGTGTGGACTTCTTCGCAGTCTGGGCCACACTGTCGGAAGACTGTAAATGCCACACAAATGAGGGTTACATTTCCTGAATCCTGACAAGAATACCTACGTTTTGATGTATAATTTATTTCAATTGAGTGAAAAATGAGGGAGTGAGAACAATTTGTTTGGAAAAACAGAACATCTTAAAAGCTAGAGCACGCACTCTAGCAGTTGAAGAATTCCGTCCATAGACTTCCATTATAAATCTGAAAATCTTTACATTTTCTTTTAAAGTTTGAAGCTTCATTGAAGCAAAACTGTAAAAGTTAGCAAAAAGCTGAGTTAAACAGTAATAGCAGAAAGATACAGAAACATTTTAAAAGTTGAATGGTGCTTCTAGCTGAAAGTATGCAGAAGTAGTTAAAGGTCAAAGATGATGAAGTTTTGGCTGAATTTTGCTGAAATCAAAGAATTCTACATGCATTTCAATGGGACCTTGACAGTTGGAATTGGAATGCTACAGACAAAGGTTGAAATTCTAAAAATAGGTGAAAATGGGTGTGGCTTCATATGTCATCAGTTTAGAACTGATGACATCACCTATGAAGCCACACCCACTGACCTCACTAAGCTAGGTTTTATAAGGAATTCAAACACGTGGGTGTTTCATTCCACACAGGGCAGCGACCAGTCAACACACGTTTTCCCTGTTGAAAAACTATTTCTCGGATTAGTTTTATTCTAATCTTTTAACCTGTGGATAACGTGTGTACATTGTGTAAAACTACCTCCCTGAATACAAACAATGGATTCCTCAACTGAAACAAAAGGAGAGGCTCAATTATTGGAAACTCTTAAGACCAAAGTACATGAAACCGATTCTCAGTTATTGGAAACTGACGAAAGCAAAGGACAGAAACCAGATTCTGAGTTAGTAAAAACTAACGAAACCAATTCAAAAAACGAGGCGACTGACATTAAAGGTCGGTACAACACTTCTGAAGATAACGCTCTACAACGATCTAAAAATCTACGTAAATTGCGGGATGAAAAAAAAGAAACAGAAAACTTAAAACAAAGAATACAGCGTTATAAAGCCGAACAAAAGAAACAAAAATCAAATTATGACTCTCTGAATCAAGAGTTAAAAACACTGGAGTTTAATCATTTTCGATTAAGCAACACAAATCAGGCAGATTTAAAAGAACTTCAAACGTGTAGAGAGACAATAGAGCAACAGAAGCAACGG